TGAAAGCCAGAACATTGCATCTTACACACATTGCTATTTCAACTGAAAAGTAAAAAAAACCCCAAAACCAAAAATGAAAACAAACAACTTTCCTGGGGAATATTATAATTGAGAGCTTATTGAAATAGGTAGGTTTTTCAAATAAAATAGTAGTTTTTTCAATCTGCTCTAATCTTTCTTATTTCCTTCCTTCTGCTAGCTTTAGGTTTAGTTTGTTCTTTGTTTTCTAGTTCCTTAAGTTGTAAAGTTAGGTTGTTGATTTGCAATCTTTCTTAATTTTTAACATAAGCATTTATAGCTATAAATTTCCCCCTCAGCATTGCTTTTGCTGCATCCCATAAGTTTTTGTATCTTGTGTATCCACTTTCATTTGTTTCTAGGTATTTTCTAATTTCCCTTGTGATTTTTCTTTGATCCATTGGTTAAGCGTGTTAATTTCCAAAATTTTGTGAATTTTCCAGTTTTATGTTATTGATTTCTAACTTGATCTCATTGTAGCCAGAGAAGAAGCTTTGTACGATATTTACCTTTTTAAATCTATTGAGATGTAATTTGTCACCTAACATATAGTCTATTCTGGACAATGTCCCAAGTGCACTTGAGAAGAATGCACATTCTTGTTGTTGGGTGGAGAGTTCTGTATGTCTGTTAGATCTGGTTGGTTTATCGTAAGCCCTCTATTTCCTTACTTATATTCTGTCGGTTGATCTCTCCATTATTGTGAGTGGAGTATTGAAGTCTCCAACTACTATTGTAGAGGTATTTCTCCCTTTAATTCTGTCAATTTTTTTCATGATAAAAAGGTTTATTTTTAATCATGGGGATAGCAAGAACATGGATGCTATTTTTATTTCATTGAACTATGCAAAACAACTTATTATAAATAGAAACTTGTATTTACAAAGGTAAGAGTAAACAATGAAAACAACATAAACAATATGGTGGAGATTGCTGATTGCTTCTCTAGTACCATCTGGTTTTCCCTTCTTCCTTGGTACATGGCTGTCAGCTAGATGTAATATTTCCCACTTTGCCTTGTGGCTAGCTTTGGCCACATAATTAAGTTCTCACTAATGAAATGTGAACAGAATGGATTGTGTAACCTGCATAAAAGGAACCCCTTACCCTGAGCTTCCTTTATTTTGCTCTCCAACACATTATCACACAGTCATGTGACCATGCAGAAGAGGCTGATGCTCTAAGGGATGGTGGAACGATGGGATGGAGGAAGTCCCTGAGCCTCCATGTGAGGCTGGGAGCAGTTGAGTCTGGCCTCTGTGTAGGAGAGAATGCTGCACAAGTACACCATTTGGGAGAAAGCAGGATTACCTCTAAAGCATAGAGGCAGCCATAAAGACAGCAGGGCAGTTGGGGATGCCCCATGAGAAGCATGGCTCTTGAAGGAACACAAATGTATTTCTCCACAGAAGGTTCATAATTTCCATTTCTTCCTTCCCATCCAAACCAATGTGTGCATGTTGGTACTTATTCTCTCACACATATCCTTTCATGCCCCCTCTTCTGTGTGTGTACAAGCTGGTGGTGTTGAAATATAGCGATAAATCTACAACTTAACATTTCCACTAATCACATATATGTTTCCGGATGATATCTTATAAACAGAGCGTATTCTTCTTAACAGCAGTACATCTCTGGATAGGCCCCATCATTAGGCCTCAGCTTGGCCGCCAGATCATAATACTTCTCAGCTGCTTCATTGAGGCTGGCCTGTCTGGTGAGCTCTAGGGGCATCTTGGTGAGAGGAGGGAGCTCTCCGGAGACTGAGACATTGGTGGGGGCCATTGTTCTGAACTGGTCCAGGCGTGCTGACACAGACTCCAGTGGGCGCCATTAATTCTGTCAATTTTTGCTTCATTATTTTGATGGTCTGTCATTAGGTGTATAAATGTTTATAACTGTTATATCTTCTTGCCATATTGAATGTTTTATTAGTATATAATGTCCTTGTCTCTCGTAATCTTTTTTTAATTAAAGTTTATTTTATCTGACGTTAGTATAACCACTCCTGCTCTCTTTTGGTTGCTATTTGCATGGAATATCTTTCTCCATTCTTTCATTTTCAACCTGTTTGTATCTTTGAATCTCAGTGAGTCCCCTGTAGATGGTATTGTGGGATCATGTGTTTTTATCTATTCTGCAATCTCATCTTTTGATCAGATGTTAATCAATTATGTTTCATTACTGATAAGGAAGAACTAAATTCTGTTGTACTATTCGTTTTCCATACGCCCTATAGCTTTTTTGTTCCTCATTTCCTGCATTCTTGTCTTCTTTTGTGTTTAGTTGATTTTTTGTTGTGAAATGTTTAAATTCCTGCTTAATTTCCTTCTCTGTATGTCCTATAGCTATTTTCTTTGTGGTTACCATGCAGATTACATTTAACATCCTAAAGTTGTAACACTCTAGTTGGAATTTACAGCAGCTTAACTTCAGTAACACACAAAAACTCTGCTCCTTTACGGCTCCTTCCCCACCCCTTTTGATTGTTGATGTCACAAAATTGCATCTTTGTACATTGTGTGCCCCAAAACAAACTAATAATTCTTCTAAACGTTAGTCTCCTAAATTAAGTAAAAAACAAGATTTGGAATTACAAACCCAAAGTTACAGTACTAGTAGCTTTTACATTTTTTTCTTTAAATATTTCTTAAACTATCTAAAACAAAATACAGTTATAAACCATTGTTATAATAATACTAGCTTTTATAATCACCCATGTATTTACCTTTACTAAGATCTTTATTTCTCCATATGGCTCTGAGGTACTGTCTTTCTAGTGTCCTTTCATTTCACCTTGCAGGATTCCTTTGAGCATTTCTTCAGGGCAGGTCTAGTGGCCTCAAACTCCCTCAGCTTTTATCTGGGAATGTCTTGATTTCTCCCTTTTTTTTTTTTTTTAAAGATTTTATTTCTTTCCTTTTTCTCCCCAAAGCCCCCGGATACATAGCTGTATATTCTTCATTGTGGGTCCTTCTAGTTGTGGCACGTGGGACACCGCCCCAACATGGCCTGACAAGCAGTGCCATGTCTGCGCCCAGGATTCGAACCAACGAAACACTGGGCTGCCTGCAGCAGAGTGCACAAACTTAACCACTTGGCCATGGGGTCAGCCCCTCTCCCTGACTTTTGAAGGACGGTTTTGCTGGATATAGGATTTTGGTTGACAGTTTTGTTTCAGCGCTTGGAATGTACCCGCCCGTTGTCTTCTGGACCCCAAAATTCCTGATGAGAAAACTGCAGGTCATCTTGCTGAGGACCCCTTGGGTGTGATGGTTCACTTCTTTCTTGCTGCTTTCAAGATTTGCTTTGTCTTTTTAAGTTTGATTATAATGCGTCTTGGTGTGGGTCTTGTTGAGATTATCTGACTTGCAGTTTGTTGAGCTTCTTGTATGTTTATATTCACATCTTTCATCAAATTTGGGAAGTTTTCAGCCATTATTTCTTCAAATATTCTCTACCCGTTTCTCTCTCTTCTCCTTCTGGGACTCCCATGATGCCTATGTTGGTCCTTTTGATGGAGTCTTGTAGGTTTCTTAGGCTGTGTTTGCTTTTCTTTAACCTTTTTTCTTTCTATTGCTAGCCTCGATAATTTCTATTGTCTTATCTTCAAGTTCACTGATCCTTCCTTCTGCCTGCTCCAATTTGACTTTGCGTTGCCTAGTGAATCTCTCATCTCAGTTATTGTAGCTTTCAGCTCCAGAAGTTCTTTTTGGTTCCTAAGGTTTTCTGTCTCTTCTCTGACATTTCCATTTCATTCACACATTTCCTTGACTTTCACCACATCCTTCTTTAGTTCTTTGAGCATTTTTAAGGTGGCTATTTTCAAGTCTTTGTCTTCTATATCTGCCGTTAAGTCTTTTTCAGGGACAGATTCTGTTGAATTATCTTTTTCCTTTGTGTGGTCCATACTTCCCTCTTTCTTTGTATGCCTCATAATTTTTTTTTGTTGAACCCTGGACATTTAAATCTAATAATGTGATAACTCTGGAAACCAGACAGCCCCCTTTCCTCAGGGTCTGCTGCTTTCTATTGTTTTTATTTTATTGTTGTAGGCTGTCTTTTTGCTAAGGATCAGCCTGAGGTGTAAACTTAAGTTTTCTCAGGTCTTTTCTGAGCCTTTCTTCGGGCATGCTCACTTGCTAATTTTCCCATATATGCAGCTGTTTTTGAATGTCCTAGTCTTTAATGTCTGCTTCATGAAAGGGGAAGAGCAAAAAATGAAGGCAGGGGGAGCACCAGCCCATTAAATTTCCTGGCAGTCACTTCAGCTGGGGAGGGAGGCACTTGCAATCATGAGGGTGTACAACACTGGCTGTCAACCTGTCTGCGCCTCTGCAAGCAGCAGCAGCAATCCAACCTCTGCACCTCTGCACCCCTGCACCCCTGCACCTCTGCGAACAGAAGCAGCAATCCATCCTTGGTCAGCACCTCTGCGAGCAGCAGCAGCAATCCAACCTCAGTCTGCGCCTCTGCGATCAGAGGCAGCAATCCAACCTCTGTCTGCACCTCTGCGATCAGAGGCAGCAATCCAACCTCTGCACCTCTGCAAACAGAAGCAGCAATCCATCCTCGGTCGGCACCTCTGCGAGCAGCAGCAGCAATCCGACCTCGGTCTGCACCTCTGCGAGCAGAAGCAGCAGTCAGTGATTAGGGATCCCCAATAGCTGGAGGACAGAGTCTACTTCACCCACCTCAGCTCCCACGTGCTGTTTGCAAGCTGCTCCAGGAGCACAGGCACAGCTGCCTGCCGCATGGCTGGCAGTAGGGGATGGGTAGCTGCTACTGTGCTAAGAGCTGGAATTGACCAAAATTAACCACAATTTACCATGCAAGTCTTCCCCTGGAAGATGTAAGCCTTTAACAGACTTCAGAGTTCAGAAACAATTATATCATCACTGGTGTTATTTTAACATATATTTTCTGTGACTGATGCCAAGAAAATTTTAGGTATCAAACCAATAAAACCATGTAGTCAACAGTTTATAAAAATATAGCTTTATTTTGTTTCAGTATTCTTGCATTGTACACATACCTAGTCATATAAACTTAGTCTTTATGTTAAATATAAATTAAACAAACACAGAAAACCACACACAAATAAGCAAAACTACTGGAAAACCCCTCCAAACCATGAATTCTTCTTAAAAATGTACACTGGGATGATGAAACTGTCTTAAAGCCCCACACTCTAGAAATTGACTTTAGCTGAATGTAAATGTCTAAAGAAGCAACAGAGGGTAAGGTGATACGGAATTACACTCAACTCCACACGCGGGGAGTCACGCAAGTCAGACGGCTCCATCTGACGTTTCAGCAAAGTACCATTTTTGTGTAAAGCAGCTCAGGGCTTCGCCTCAAGTTACAGGGTAATTTCAAAGCAATGCAGGAGAGCGTGGCCAGAAGACTCGGCAGTCACATGGCTTCAGAACATGAATTCCAAAGGATCCAAAGATGAGGAAAACATCCACTCCACCCATGAAAGCCTCTCCCAGGGCCCTAACTCAAAACCAGATTACCACAAATGCCTCAGGATCACCACACGTCCTGAAAATTTACAACTGTAGCAAAATACACACGCACATACAAAACCTGGAAAACTCTTGCTGAATTTCAGAATAGAAAGGTTAGAACATTAACCTTGAGAGAGAACACAATGTTGTGGCTAACACACCAAAGTTGGGACTGGCCTGACACGTTTCTCTATAAATTCTGAGTTCATGAGAAGCATGAGATGCAGTTTTCCTTATAGTCTTCTTTGATAGGGGTGCACAGATGCAAGGGAGTCTCCCACCGCCCTCTTCAGGGCTGGAACAACTCAAACAGCTTGTGGGATGGTGCCAAGAACACCAGGCCCAAACCCACACAGAGGGCAAAGTTCAGCCCCAACGGTTTCCATTCCTGGCTAGGAGACAGCTCCATACCAGGACTTCAGAAACAGAAGGACAGCCTATCACTGCCATCAGAGGCCAGTCTCTGAGCTCATCATCACCACTTCCCAGAAGGTGCACACAGACACAGACTCCCACGGTGGGGTCAATTACGAGGCTCTGAGGCTGAGGGGCTTCGGACTGTGGACATGAGGTGTGACTTGTAGGTTTTGCTCAGACCTGTCATCCAGAACTTGAGCAGCTTGACATTGTCCTCCTCAGATGCTCCGAGGATACTCAGGAGCTTCTGTGTGTCCTCTTTGGGTCGACTGTCCACCTTGGTGAATTTAAAAAGGACCTTCACTTTGCTGTAAAAAAACAAAAACAAAACACTCAGATACCACAGCACAATCCCCAGAGTTCTGGTCCCGGGGCCTAAATGGCTTCCGACCAGCCCAGCTCTGCAAGTGGAGCTGGAATTCACACACCGAGAAGAGACGGCGCGGCACAGTGGCAGCTCACACCTGCACGCTTCCGACCCTCTGCTTGGCCCGTCAGTTCTAATTCTGGGGGATACGGCCAGCGCATCACAACGGGGAGAAAAAAGGAAAGAAAAATTTCCTTAAATTCATGACAGAAACTGGTTGCTCCTAAGCTTCACTATATTATTTGAAATCACGACAACGTTTGACTAAATTTGACAAAAAATTACTACAATGGCAGGAGGAAATAAAGTAGCTTGCTTTAATAAAAAGGGACTGTTACCTGACTTTCAGATTTTTACAGGTAACTAAGCAGCAAAAATAAGCGCTTCCCTCCATCAGGGAGGAAAGCACCACCCCACCCCACAGAGGAGCAGCCTGAGGCTCGGGGCACTGGGCCACCTGCTCAAGGTCACCCAGTAAATAACAAGTGGCAGAGCTGGATTGGAACTCACGCTCTTAACTTCTACTCTACGCTGCCTCTCCCAGTGGCCACGGCCCCACCGCTTTTTCTGGAGACAACTTCTAGTTTTCCTCCACAGAACACACTGCTGTGGCAGCCGTGCCCCCGTCAGAAAGACCCTAGGAGCCAAGGCAGTGAGTGCTTACTTCATCCACTCTTCCTTGAGGCAGACGAGGCACTGGTCGACCACATCCACAGACAGATTCTGGTTGGTCAAAGCAGCTTCCATCTTGTTCAGGATAGTGGGGCCCACTGGGAGCAAGAGCGGGGCAGAGGAGCACGGGGAGGTCAGCACAAGGCGGGCGAGAGGCGCTCTTCCTCCCGCTCTTGCTCTAGTGAAAGGCAGCACCCTCAGCCGCACCCACCTCGGTCTGCAGCTACAGGGCTTCCACTGGTCACCACAAACTCATACTTGCTGAGAGACTGGTCATCCTCACACCCGACGGGGTGGAGGCTGGAGCGTGTGGCTGTGTGGACCTCCACTATGACAGCAAATTCTGTGGCAACACAAAACACACTCTTCACCCCCTTAACCAGCCCACCTAACTGTGCCGCTCCAAATTCTCTCAGATCAACCAGGGAAAAAGCCTGGTCTCCTGAGAGTAACGCTTGGGCACTTACAACCTTTTGTAGTTTATTTGTGAACAGAGTTAAGGGTTAACTTTTGCCTCAGTTAAATTAACAATGTCTTACATTACAACAACTACTAATTGCATTACGTGCCTCAATTCACTTGCTACTAAACAGCCCTATGGGAGCCATCCCACTATTACCCCCATTTTATAGACAGGGAATCAGGTTTAGAGAAGCTAAGTGACTTGCCCAAGGTCACACAGCTAGTTGTGGTAAGAATTTCAAGCCCATCCCTGAAACCAGAGCCTATGTTCCAAACACTACCCAGAAAGGGCACGGCCTCTCGGGCCCTCAGGGCTCAGCTGGGCGCCGAATGGAGTGGTGGCTCAGGGCTGCCGAGCGCCAAACGCTCTGCCGCTCAATCTTGCGACTGCCTCTGAGCACAGTGACTGCCTCTCACAGAGAGCGCAGCGCTCAGAAGTTACTGACCTGCCTGCGGAGGTGGAATCTGCACCCAGGCTGACTCCTGGACTCCCCAAACCAAAAGGTGAGGGATGCTAATGAGTTTCCCTGTTCTTTGCCTAGAGGAGTAAGCTCATCAGTGCTGAGGGCAGAGCAAGGCAGAGAGCCCCAGTGCACTAACGAATGTCAGGATGGGCTTGAGGCATATAAGAGGAAGAAAAAAGTCGGAGGACAAGGAAGCATGACAGGAGAACAATGAGAGGAAAGGAAGACCAGGAGACTTCAGGAACATGGAAGGCACACTTTCACAGTCCAGCGAGCACCAACTCACACTCACAGGATGACGCTATGATCCTCTGACGTCCATTTGCGTTGTTCCCACCCCGAGGACTGTGACCTGCTCCCTACGCCCCAGCAAGCCACCCTTACTATGAGGTTGTCTAGTCAACCTTCGCCCATTTTAAAAACAGAGGCCCGATGCCACTGGGAGAGCTGGTCCTACAATGTGGGTCCTCCTGCCTCCAAGGCCAGCAGCCAACGTCCTTGAATCTACAGCTAAGCTCCAGTTCCACTTCTGAGCCCTGAGGTGCGGGGACAGACTAGACAGGAAAGGCACGCACCTGAGGACAGCACGTGGGAGGGGATCTGCACCTGCGGGCTGAGCCCCAGGAAGTTGCAGCGGTAGGCCTCCTCATACTGGCTGCTGTAAGGGATGATGCGCACACAGCCCACCGGCAGCATGGTCTAGAGCGGACAGAGCGACTGAGAACGACACCAGCTGGAACACCTCCCCCATCTCCATCACCCACACCCCGTGCGCCCTCTGCAGCTCAGTTCAAAGCCCGTCTCCTCCCAGAGGGTGTCCCTGGTGACTCAACCCCATGGGGTCTCTCCCGCTCAGCCCAACTCTCATCCTGGCAATCGGTCATACACGACAGTGCTGCCTCTTGCTCTGCGGGATTACTTCTTATATTACGCTTTGACTTCTCAGATGTAAGTCTCTTCCCTTATCCCACAAAGAGACTGTAAGTTTCTTGAGAGATTATCACACTTATTTTGTGCCCTCAGAGGCCTAGGCAGACGGCAGGTACGCACACACTTTCTGATGACTTAAACACGTCAGAGGCAGACCCAGGCCCTGGCATCCACTAACCCTCCGGGATGGAGACAGCGTGCTACACCTGCATCCCACCCAACCGGGAACGCTCTGTGCAAAGGAATGCAGCGACCCAGACCTGCTTCCACAGCACCCGTGACACTCTCATGGCTTCTCAGAGGGGGTCAGAGATTGGGGAGAGGCAGAGAGACTTAGTTATCTATCAGGATAACACAGACTCCTTCCACCAGAAATAAAAAACCATCAACGACTGCCACTTTTAAGTGGAGAAAAAACACAGATCTTAGATTCGGGCATGAACCTTGTTGGCACTGAGCCACTGACGCATCATACATTCACATCTAAAGTCAGGACTGTTTTAAAACCCACTAGGCAAAGACTGTCCTGCTACAAAACACATGAGAAAGAAGAACTCTTACCCGAAGAACTTCAAACGCTGACTGGACAAGGTCTGCATCTCGACTTTTCCAGATCACCTGGTTCCCCATGAGAACGTGCCAGGCCAACATGCGAAAAGATGGGGCACCCAGGACCTGAAAAATATAGTTCAGTGCTTTCTGCCCTCAATTTTCTTTCCACCTAACTGAATTTATTTGTGTGCTCATCAAGAAACTTCTTGTGTCTAGTGAAGGAAGACCGGTCAGGAAAGTCGCTTATCTTCCTGGGGAGGCCGGGTAACTCGCCCAAGGTCAGAAGGAAGCAGGTGAAGTCCCTGGATTTGCACCAAAAGCCTGATCCCAAAGCTCTTGCACACTTTTAGATCTTCTTCCCAATTTTATTTGCAGAAACTTGAAACAAAAGGTAGCTTTCCGCAACATTTCCCTTCTCTCAATACACACACTTTATTCTGCTGAACCATTTCAAAGTAAGCGGCAGGCATCGTGACCCTTCAGCACCCAGGAGAAACAAGGGCCTCTCCTACACGATCTCAACGTTCACCACACCCAGAAAGGCCACACGGACGTAATAAGCCAACGTCCAGAGCCCCAAACCCCTGACAGCGAGCGTCCTTTGAAGCTATTATCCTTTCAACCCAGGAGTCACTCAAGGATCACGACTGCTCTGTTTGTCCTGTCTTTATTCTGCTTTAATCTAGAACAGCCCTCTCCCCACCTCACCTTCTGTTCACTTCCATGACACTGACATTTGAGACAAGTTCAGTCTGTTATCTTATGGCATATAAACACGGCCAAAAAATTAAAAAAATAAAGAAGACTACAATACTACATTTTACCAAACCTCAACAGTCTCAAAGTCCTCCTCCCTCCAAAGGAATTCAAGATTCCTTCCAAATTCAGTCCACATGAGCAATCAATAAGGATGATTTCAGCCAAACACATGATTTTGATGGATGAATGTTATTCACCCAGAAGTCCCTGCATCTGCCATTAAATCAGTCTTTACTCCACTTTCCAAAATAGAAATAGTTGCTGATAAAATTCATGCTCATTGTAAAAGTAAATACTGAAAAATATAAAAGGGGACAATCTGTCCTCATCATCTAGTGACCCCTTCCCCCCATGTGACCAGATCTCCCTGTAAGACTTCTGTCTTTGGTGTGGATAGATAAATACCCCAGCACCACCCTATACAACAGACTGCATGCGTGCTTTCTTGCACTTAATGACATTCCATTGTTGGGATGTAATTACTATGACTGGACATTCAGAATGTTTCCAATTTTTTGTAAGAATGGCATAATTTTCAATTTCCAAAGCACTAGGCTGCATGCAAACCAAGAGGACTGTTCAATTCCTTCAGAAGGTTCTAGAATGATAAGATTAGAGGACCATGAGAAACCAACCATCCAGGCCTTTATTGAAAGGAAAGACCTAGGTCATCACTAAAAGGAGAGCGCTGATCCTACGGCTCAGACACCCCACATGCCCACCACTGTCTCCAGCTACCCACCAAGAAGGTTCTTAGTTTCTCCCAGACAACCAGTCCCTGCTGGGACCTGAAGAGAACAGGCCCAAAGGCAAAGTGTGCTGGAGATGAGTGAAAGGAGAGGATCGGGCTCTTCTGAATTTCTGATCGGGGCTCTGCCCCACCGCTGCCTACCTGCCTCATGTGCCGAAGGGACCTAAAGACAGACAGCTTTCGCGGTTGCCAGTTTCCGCAGTCTGAAAGCAGGGAAGAATCCGTTGGGCGCTTGGTCAGCTCCCGCCCTTCTGCACCCTCCGGCAAGACAGGGGTTTTTTCCTCTTCAGCCTCAGAGTTGTCCCAACTTTCTGATTCCTCTTCTAAGTCTGCAAGACAGATGACAAAGACAGTTACAAAACGTGCCGCCCCTGGATTCCTTCGTTGCCCGGGGGCAACAGTCTCATTACATGACCACTTCAGCCCAAGGCATCTCTGGTCAAACCCTCACTGGTTTCTGGTTTTGGACAGCTGTCGCTACCACTTGTTGCCCTCAGCACCTGGGGGGTGGAGGCAGGAGGCTGGGAGGGCTCAGGCTGCTGTGTCCTCACCCCAGAGCCTCGCCCTGCATTGTGAAGCACACACCTGCAGGACTCAGAGCTGTTCACCATCAGTGGGAAAATTCAAACCGACGATAAGAACGGCGACAGCTCAGCTCGTCGTCACTGACGGCGTCCTCGGTCAGGCTCTCTTCTGAGGGCCTCCACGCCCCACTGCACCTAATCCTCTCAACTGTCCGGAGGCCAGTACTACTCTCCCCACTTTACAGACACAGAGATACATGTTATTTCAACTAATCTTCATGACAACCCTCACAAATGAGGACATCTTCACTCCACGACACAAGTGAGGCTCACAGGGAAGGGCCTTGCCGGTGCACACAGAACACACGAGAGCAGCAAAGCCAGGACCCAAAGCCAGGTCTGTCTAACTCCAAACTGTGTGCTCCACACCCCTACACTCACCTTCTTTGTGACCGAATACAACCCAAGACACGACAGCAAGCCCTGTATGCCTGCTTCTCCCTCTCCTAAAACGGACAAGATTACTTGGCAGGTCCTGATATACTTGGCTCTCTGCGTAAGTAAATCCCACCAACAGACGACCCTTGCCACCTTCACTACCCTAGACATTTGTAATCACTACGATAATCAACGGGTCCAGGGTCAACCGATCCATGAGGATGCGAAGGTGGACTGCAAAGTCTGGTCTTTTCTGAGCATGTTCTGCTCTTGCGGGAACTCCACTCCCCTTTTCTCTACTCAGGAGAGCATGTTTGAATGCAATGTATGTGAGTCATTTGACTCTAAGAATAACCCTGACGCAGCTCCAACTTATGAAGAAGGTCAGTCATTCACACACTCAAGTGTGTCAAGCATTATTAGTAACAAACTACACACAACACGCATCACAAGTTTGGTTCACCCTACTCCACAGATGAGACCATGGACCTAGATCACTAAACATCGAATCGCCTCCAAAGGAAAAGTACAGGCAGGACGGAGAGCAGAGGTTCCTGGGCTGGTGTCCACCACAGCAGAATCCCTGGGAAGTTACTGAAAACACGGGCCCCTGGGCCCAGATGTGGGGATCTGACACGAACCTGGGGAGGACTGCCGAGGCCGCAGGGACCTCTGGGAACCACTGCCCTGGACGGAAACCTTGGGAAGCGAAGCGTAACCTTTTACTGCTGAAGAGCAGAGACTCAGGGACACTGCCTAGGAAGGCCAAGCACTTGGTTCTCACAAAACAGGAGAAGAAAACCTTCCAGCGAGCCTCTCCGCAGACTGACAGCTCTAAGAGTGGATTTTCCCAACCTGCCCAGTAACGGACTCTCTCATGTGACTGTAAGGAAATGAGACAGGAAATCACAATACAAACACCCAGATTAAAGGGCAAGCTTCTGCAGATGCTCCTCCCGGGGTTATTCATCCCAGGGCCCCCTGCATCAGCTCTTTCCGCTGGAACAGGAGTGTTCAGTGGCTGCGAGATGGCCCGACAGGCACCGCAGGCAAAGGGTCCGGCACAAACACCTCCCAGCTCACCCGCAAGCTTCTCCATCTGGACCAAGGTGTCCTCGGTGGGCGCGCCCTCCAGGAGCTTCTCAGTCAGCCGGCTGCCGCACGCCTTCAGGAGCCTGGAGAACAAAGTGCCATCGACGAAGTATTCTCGCCAAAAGAAAAACTGAACCTGACGCCAATCAAGCCTCTTGATCTAACTACCAGTTTACGGAATAATACGGATATAAAAGAATGTATGAGCAATGCCACGAGGATACAGTCAGCCAAATCCAAAAGGGGAATTCTACTGGACAAATGACCCAAGTCCTCCAACAAAAGGCCCAGGAAAACCAGGGGTGGGACACAGGACAAACTGCCTCAGACTAAGAAACTCGGAACCACCTACGCACTGCGCATTGGTGCATAGTCCCAATTCACAAATCATTTCTGAGGCAAAGTGAGAAAAGTGCACATGGATTAGGTTGGATGATACTAAAGAATTAGTCCATTTGCTCGGGCATGATCATGGTTTAATGGTTGAAACGACACAACTAAAATTTACTTTAAAAATATTCTACGGACAAAAAATGGGAAAGGTGAAAAAGCAGCAAAATGTTGATAACTGCAAAAGTTGGAGGATAGGGTGTGTAGTTCACCATACTGTTTATTCCACTTTGGGTCTGTTTGAAAACCTCCCTAATAAAAATGATTTAATTTCACGACAGGAGGAATCCTGTCAGGTGAGGAAGACAGAACTTTCTCTCTAGTCCGCAGGCCCTCAGGAGATGCACTCAAGGATGAGTATCTGAGGAGCTTCGTCCACACCAGGCCCTGGTCTAGACAGCGAGACCCTAGACTTCAAGCTGACGCTCCGGAGAAAGGAGAACTGGGGGGACTCTTTGGAAGGACTGTATCTTGCAACAGGAGGAACAGAAAATAATTCGTGGCCAGAGGGCAGAGTGGCGGTGGTTTTCAAGTATATGCACAAATTTGTTGACAGTTCTCCCTTCAAAAGATGAATACTAATCCTCTCCTCCTGACTAGGCTGGGCTAGTGACACGACACATTTCTAACGAACAGCATGTGCTGGAAGCAGCCATGTGACTGCCGAGGCCAGTTACCAGGCCTTGCAGACCCCACCTCATTCTCTCTTGGATCACTCACTGAGGGAAGTCAGCGCGCATGTCCACATGGCGAGCAGCTGAGGCTTCCTGCCCACAGCTGGCACCAACTTGCCAGCCCTGTGAGGGAGTCAACCCTTCAGATGACTGCAGCCCCAGCTGACAAAAACTCCTGAGAACCAGGGTCAGAACCACCCAACCAAGCCACTCTCTAATTCCTGATCCCCAGATGCCACGTGGAATACATGTTTACCAGTTTCCAAGAAAGGGAGGTGATCACTGGTCTTGGTATGGGAATAACATTTTAAAAATGTCACTGGGAAGTCAGTTCCACCCAAATACCTCTTCCACACACTTGGGGGAAGACGCCTAGAGGAAGAGAAGGCTGCCGCCCAGGTCAGGGCTCACCAACAAGCACACACCATGGAGGCACCCAGGGGATGTCGCCCCAAATTCGTGCACAACCCAACTAACACACTGTGACTGCTCTTATTCCCACAGTGGCTAAGAGACCTGAGAATCTCGTTACCAAGCAAAGGAGGTGTGAAGGCATGCCCACAAGTTGTCATCGCTTGTCAAGGACGTCAGTGAACGGGCGGCGTTACCATTCCTTTGGTGCAGGAATGGCGTAAAAGCCGTGTTCATCCTCTGGGCACGCTGTGGGCACCCAAACTGCTCCGCTTCAAACACCTAGAGGCAAAAGGAAGCGGTAGCCCTTTAACAAAACAAAACCAGCGGAGCAGCCCAGCTCCAGCTCGCTCACAGCCAACGTCATGAATCCTGCTGCTGAAGACTGTCCCATTCTGCTCCCTTGATGCAGAGGACAGAGAGTGCCGCCAGTCTCTTAACTCCAAACAAGTGGTTTTGCTTCCCCAGCTGGATTAGAAGCCGCCTCAGAAGAGGACTCGGTTAAGAATTTCTCTGTGCCTGCTCGTACCCGCTCCTACACGCAGCTCATTAAGCACTTGAGGGGACTCTGGCAACGTGCGCTCAAGGTGGTCGTGAGCGTTGTTCTCCACGTGATTTCCAGTCCTCCCCTGCCAGGCACGAGGAGCCTTTCACTACTCAGGCCCTGCGTGGGTGGGACATGTGACCCATTCTGGCAGTGAGGGGAGAGGGAAATGAGGCCCTCCAGTACCCTCCAGGCCTCCAGCAGGCAAGTGAGCTACATTCCAACCCGGTCGCTGCTCCACCCGCTGGGATGAGAACGAACAGCTCCCCTGCTTCCCTGGAATGGCCAGAGGACACGAACAAGAAACAGACATTGTGGCTTCAAGCCCCCGAGGTCTGAGGACTGCCGCAAGGGATAGCCTAGCCCAGCCTGAGAGATGCAACGCCACAGCTGGGGGTCTGTGTTAGGTGGTGGATCCACAGCACGACTAACAGACAGGCTTCTGAAACGAAGATCAGAGGAAGCAAAAACACCAGGGATAAAACCAGGGCATCGGAATGAAATAAAGCAGCCAGAGCAGAGCAAGAACCAGGACAACAACGGACTCGAGAGAGACCAGGAGAGCAAGCAGGACCAACTGACTGCCAGGCTTGTGACCACAACCTTGACTCTGAAGCCAGGAGACTACAATTCAGACAGAGCGGCTGCCACAGGACCAAGAGGTAACAAAACTGCTCACGCTCTTGCCCTTCTTCAGTGTCAAGCTCCCCCCCGACTGCTACCGTTCGCCCTTTATGTGGCCTCACCTTGAGTGCCTTGCCCTGGAGTTCATCGATGATTCCTCGGATCTTCCCAAGCAGGAAGGGCCAGGAGTTGATAAGGTAGATGCGGTCCATCATGATGGCGATGATGCTGTACCAGCGCTGGAAGCCCCTGGCCAAGCTGTCTTTGATGAAGAAAGTGTGGCTGAACACGAACCCATGCTGCTCATCCCCAAAGAAGATGGGGCCTTCGCGGCCAGGGCAGACCTGGGACGAAACAACAGCCACTCCAGAACACAGTCCTCTCCTCGCTTCAGCGAGACAAAGTCAAACCCTCCTTCTCAGACTTCTTTTTGCACTAACTAGCCAGCACTAATTACAGGCAGAGTGGGAAGGGTGGGGATGAGAGAGAAAACTTTGCTCTCATCTGCTCCTGGGACCAAACTTTCTAAAGACAATGTTTGTTGTCATAAATGCAAAGGCCAGTAAAGTAGGTTCATTACTTTTTCTACCTTGAGCATAAATAACACCTCTACAAATATATCTATCTTGGACTCAAATTTGCCAATGTAAATCATCTGGAATATACTGCAGAACGGGTAGGTCAAAATTGCCACTGCAGAGTCCATATAATAAAGTTTGCATACTTTATTTGTAGGAGAGAACTCAGGTCTCCCTCATGACATATTCGCTCCCGCTTTACACACAGCTCCATCAGACATGATAATCTGCGAGCAGATTAGCAGCAGGAAATCAAAAGGAAGGAAACTGCTGAAGGTTGACACACAGTGACAGTAAGTGAGAACTAACAGTGAGAGAGCTTAGCATGTCTACCCAAGTGGGCACAGCTACAGGAAGTTTCAGTCACCGGACTATGAGTTCTTTGTGACAGATAGAAACATATAAGCTAAGACTCAAACTCAACAACTGCAGCCATATAGTTTAGAAACAAATCAGTTCACTCTTCAGTAGGTTCTGAGAGCACGTGATGGATCACTGAGGCTTGTAATGATGCTTGAGACAAAGACAAATGTGATGTTTGATATGGTGACCTACACATCCTTGGAATATTTTATATCTTAGAAACATGTCCAGGGCTGGCCCCGTGGCTGAGTGGTTAAGTTCGTGAGCTCTGCTGCAGGCGGCCCAGTGTTTTGTTGGTTCGAATCCTGGGCGCGGACGTGGCACTGCTCATCAAGCCACGCTGAGGGAACGTCCCATACGCCACAACTAGAAGGACCCACAACGAAGAATATACAACTATGTAGCAGGGGGCTTTGGGAGAAAAGGAAAAAAAATAAAATAAAATCTTTAAAGAAACATGTCCATGAGGAATGGACGAATAAAAGTTTGGTTCTTAAAATGATAAGCTAACAAACATTTAGAAAACTAGAGGCCAGTACAACTTATTCTGGAATTCTGGCTCACTGAGGCTGCCCAGTGCTCCTGGCTCACTGACCTGCCCGTCTTCATGACAGGACTGCCTTCTGTCTTCCTTCCCATGACCAACACTGAACTTGCTCAGGGCGTCCTGGAGTGTGTGGGACAGTCCACAGAGAGCTCCCCCACCCCAGAGTCCCACGTGCTCACCTCACAGCTCAGGCTCCGCACACAGGCCTGGCGGACAATGCTGAAGAGCTGGGGGTGGTTGGGGTGCTGGTGACTGACATATTTAATCGAGGTCTCCTTATCGTGGCTGATATACCCAGGATGCCCTGCAGCAAGTGACCGGCAGCCCTGCCCACGAGAAGGAAAACCAAACCAGTTATTCGGGAAGCAGGCGACACATTTTCTTACTCTTATGCAAATGTGAAACAGAAAATTCAATCTGTTTTCTATTACAAAAAAAAAAAAAAAAAAAAAAACTGGCTACCAGAGTTATACTTATCTGAGGACAGCAATGTTTCCTGAACAGGAAAACCAGGATCACAAAGGCTATCAGAGGGTCTGAGGAACAGATGTAATCTACCGAGCACTTAGGTACCAGGTGTTACAAAGACCTCTACAGACATCATCTCATTTAATCCAAAGTGCAACCCTATGAGATACTCACAGAGAGAAGCCCCATCTGACAGAAAGCAAAGCTCAGTCCCTGAGCTGCAAAGGGGCTCACACAGGGCTCTGTGCTGGCCTCTGTCCTTGGTCCTGACACAACCACGCACCGGGGCCCAGGAGCATGCCACAGGCTTCAGAGTTGTTGCAGCAGCCTGAGACCAAGCTCAGAGCCCCTGCTCTGGAGAGTGGACTGGACTGGCAGTCCTGGCTGCTGCCCCTCTGGAGCCACTGTCACACTGGTGCTGAGGTTTGCGTCCTGGAGGCTGCCCGCACCCTGGGACTGTATACAAGAGAGCACTGAGGCAAGCCCTGGCCTGCGGGATGTAGGACTCCTCCCACAGCATTCAGCTCAAGGACTCTCCTCCAGGAGGCTCCCTGCCCAGCCCTCCTTCCTTCCTTCCTCTCCATTGCAGGTGTCAGACTTGTTCACAGCCAGAAGGCTCTCCCACCTTCTTCTCTCACCCTCTTGATTCTTCACAGGTGTTTCCAGCAATAAACCAACGTTGTGCACATCGTCTACTTCTCAGAGGAACCACACTAAGGCAGCTGGATTCCTGTTCACACTGGAGTGGCAGGTCCAACTCCACCTCTGATTTTGGGTCCCATCCCAGGTCCTTCACATGAAGAAGTGGCCTAGTGAGGGAACTTAAGCTCCATTCCCCAGAGCTCACGATGCAGCACAAAGAGGAACACCCAGGACCCTATGAGGAGGAGACTCCCCAAGAACACTGGACTGAGGGAATTGGAGCCCAGGACGGGCCAGCATGTGAACACGAGTGTGTGGAGGGGACGGATGAAAGGCAAACATGACGGTGGCAACTACTGGCAAAGAGTGGCCTGAAAAAGCTAAAGCTGGGGCGAGGGGAAAGGGCTAACGGACATAAAGAGAAGCAGATACATTCCACGGGGCCCACAGAGAACGGTCTGCACACATCACCTTAAGACCACACCTCTGTGAGGGCACCCTCACTGCACCACGGGGCCTCCTGTCCACTCCCCCAGGAGGCCACACACACAGCATAGGCATGAGCCCCTGTAGAGAAAGAAACATCCCCAACATCAAGAGAGACACTTGCCTCGCACATGTCTGACTTTTTGGGTCCCGGGCTGCTGGACTCAGTGCTGGCCCCTTCTGCGGGGCTGTGGGCACGGATCCGACTGCTCATCTGAATGCCGCCTTCCTCCTCCTCAGCCTGCTCGCCCTGGCCGGGGCTGTCCCCAGTCCCAGCGCCTTGTGGAAGTGGGGCATGCAGGACTTCTGTGCAAAACAGAGTGCGGGGGCCGTGGAGCTCGCAGAAGTGACAGAGAGCGACGATGGCATTCATGGTGCTTTGGGGACGGCACAAGGCCTGCATGGGGGGAGGAGGGGAAACACCATCAGCTGGTCAGCGCGTGTTCACACCACAGAACTTGCCAGCAACTCTGAAGAACGTGAACTGGGCAGGTGTTGTCAACAGGTTTCCTGTCTAGGTGAGGCAGGTGACCTAGCCAGGTGGCACTGGCTGAGCACCTACTCTGCGCCAGCGCTGCATCAGGTGCAGGGGAAACAAGACAGACAGACAGACATGGTCCCTGTCCACAGCGAGTTACAATAGAGAAGGGAAATGGAATTCAATGGTCACACAGAAAACCGTTCAGTTAGAACCAGACAGGACTGCGAGGCAGACAGAAGGGAACACACACACAAGTGACGATGCAGCAAAACCCACCAGAGAGGCTGAGCCCTCCCAACATGCTGGGTGACGTCTCAGGTGACGCGATGCTGCCTCCCAGAGCTTACCTTCTAGGAGGGGAGGGACCATGAGAAACTGCTTTGTCTCGCACGTGATACCTTAGGAAGGGAAGTGCAGCGGGTCCAGGGCAGAGAATCAGTGGAGGTGGTGGGACATGGTGTTGGACACAAGGGCTCCCCGAGTGAGAGCTGAAGAAACGGAAGGAGCCGTGGAGGGCTAAGGAGGGGACACAACTGGGGGCCTGAGCATCTGCAGAGTTGGGGGACAAGGGCAGAAGACTAGGAGGAGGTTTTTTTCAGAGGTTGGAGAGCCTCTGGTGGATTCTGATGAAAAACCGTTTGAATCTTACTTTAAAAGGAGCATTCTGGAGCTGTGCAGAAAACAGACTTCAGTAGCGAGGGTAGAGCAGGGAACCAGTTGAGGCATTCCCACCGTTTCACGTAAGAAGAGAGGTGGCCTGGGTTAGGATGGGCAGTGGAAGGTGGTGAGGAATGTCAGATTGTGACTGCGTTCCCAAGGCAGAGCCATCAGACTCTGCTCATGCATGGGCTGTGGAGCGTGAAAGAGGGAACAAGGCTCTCTGGCCCAGTAAGAAAGGGCTGTGGAAGACAGGAGGAAGAACAAGTGGGGAGGAGGCCAAGAGCCGATGCCTAGTAAGCCTCCAAGTGGAGACGGTGACAGGAAGTGAGAGATGAGTGCGGCAGTCAGGGCTGGGTGGGATGGGAGTGCCTCAGCAGAGCCTGGGGCCCTGCAAAACTGAGACATGGAGGGGAGGAAGAGCTGGCCAAGGTGACAGAGAATGACAGGCAGTGAGGCAAACTCCAGTGTGGCCCCAGAGACCATGTGAGCAAAATGCAACTCAGGAGAGAAGCCAAGTCCTGGAGGAGGCAGCTGGGTATGGGACCCAGCGCAAAAATGGAAAGCTGGGCTTGGGCCACAAGTGGGGCAGCTTATCTATCGTAAGGGAGGCAGAGCTGGGGATGTGGACACAGACACAAGCATCCTACGGTTGCGAGAATCAAGGAAGGCTTTTAAAAGGGAGGCTGTGTCCACTGCGCTCTCGAGGGCAGAGGAGGTCTGGAAACACGAATCCAAGAGCAAAGCCACAGAGGTGGGACAGCAACAGCCCAGCTTACCTGACGTGTGTGACAGAGGAGGGCCTGGAAGCTAGGCTAAAGAGGGAACATGTATTCTCCAGACCCATGCTGTCCAATACAGTAGCCATGAGCCATATGTGGCAACTCGGCTTAATGAATTAAAATGAAAAGCCCTGTTCCTCAGTCTCACCAGCCACGTTTCAAGCGCTCACTGACCACATGTGGCCCATGGCCCCCATTTTAAAAGGCAGCACAGATCACAGAACATTTCCAGCATCACAGGGAGTTCTGGAGACAGTCTTGCTCAAAACAATGAAGAACCATTTAAGTTTCTGAATGTCTGACTGAATAGTAGACACTGGCCAGGATCCAAACCTTCTTCTCTTTTGGGGACCCTGTCCCCCATTACGGAGCCAAAGAAAGCCAGACATCCTCTGTCCACACCCCCTTGTAGGCAGGCACAGGCATGACCACAGCTTGGCCAGGCAGAGGTACGTGCCCGGCGCCAAACCTAGAGAAGGGAGGCAAAGCAGCGGACAGTATGAAGACGCCCAGTGGGGGCAAGGAGTCCCCTGGGGGAGTGTGTCCCAGGGGACTAGCGTCCTCAACAACCTGCTCATGGCGTGTCCCTCAACGTGCCCTCGGAGCAGCCTCCCTGCCGGCGGCGGTGCTCAGAGCCTGCTTCTCTGGCCTGCCCACTAACTCTGCCACCCACCTGATGTTTTGCAATCAGCCTCTCAGCTGACACGGCTGCCACTGCACCTGTTCTTATACCTGAGGCAGGGGCTGGAGCTTCAGTGGTTACAGTGGGAATGGCAGAAGCCGACATAAAACAGACATCTGAAGAGAAAGTCAGGCGGGCCAACGGTGAGTCAGGCATGGGGATCAGACAGGATGCCCTGAGGGGTGGCCGGCAGGTATGGAGAGCCAGGGCACGGGGTGTTCCTGGAGGGAGGTGGGCAGGGGGAGAGGAGACAGATAGAGATTGAGAGGCAGGAGAACCTTTGGCTGGAAAGCCCTGAGAGGCCCATGGAAATTCTGGACTGCAGTATCAAAGAAGGGAGGGCAGGGCTGGGGATGAAAGTCTGGAACCGCTCCCACACACCTTGACCTGGCTCGCTCCTCCTCACCGTTCAGCCTCTCCCCGCACGCCCCTTGCTCAGAGAGGCGCCCCCAATCAGTCCACCCAGAACAGCCGCTCACCTCCACCCCCATCACTCTCGCCCCTTCCCCTGCTTTATTTCACTGGAATGAACATTTCCTGAGAGGGCAGACTTTGTCTAGTCTACACCAGTTCGCGACACACAGCAGGCACTAAATTAGTAAGTCTTGGATAAATGAGTGAATTTACAAGCTTCCCATAGAGAGAAGGCAGTTGTCAGAGACAGTGGAGAGCTCATCGAGGGCATCTAAGGGCAGGAGAGGTTCAAAAGCACAAACATGGAGTACACCAGTCAGAGGGCCTAGTGTCACAGGAGCCAAATAAACCGAATTTAAAGAAAGGGTCGACAGGGCTCACTATGGTGACCTCAAGGGAAATAATGGTTTAAAAAGCTATTGTGGAAGACGGGGTGAGGCAACCACTGATGGAAGAAGGACCTCGGAGGAAGAGGTATCAGGTCCCAAAGCAAAGGCAGAGGTGTTAACTCTGGAAAAGGAGGCCGTGTCTCCTTTAAGAGGCATAAAAGGGAAGAGAAGGAAGGTTCCCTCCAGCAAGATACCCACACGAAAGCAGCGCCTGGTCAAGGTTCACCCATCGGCAGAGCATCCGTACGAACCTTTACACTCAGCAGCAGCACAGGTCCACTGTCCCACCTAGACCAGAGCAGGGAGGGCCACCTCCAAACGAGGGAGGCGGCGCAACAGCCGTGATGCTTCAGCTCTAGGACCTGACGTTTTCTAGGTAAAGGGAAAAAAAGCAGAGCTAATTCTAAGAGCAAGGGGCCCGGGGGCGTGAAAACATCTAAGCACCTTACAGCCAGCCTCAAATTAGAACATCATGAGAGAGGACGTGCAGATTCCAGCGGTTCTGCAGGGCTGGGCAGGCCTCTTGCCTCTGAGCAGCAGCTGACACCGCAGCCAAAGTTTCAGCAGAAGTTTCACACCTCTACAGTAGTATTTCCTAAGGACCTCTCGAAATACATTTATATTTAAGTATCTTGTAAGATACAAACATTAAAAATTATAACGCCCCCATCCCTCCAACTCTGGGTGATAAAGGGGCTGCTCTGGCAGCACCCACGTTACGCCAATGTCACCCTCCAAGTTCCTCTCCGCCTCAAATGGGAGAGACCAGGAGTGATGCTGCTCAGCTGCTTCCCAGAATCCAGGACCAACAAGGGCTGCTCTCATGATTAGTTTTGTGGGGTTTTGTCGTTGTTGTTGTTGTTTACAAGAAAAGCACTCCTGTCTGACATGAGTGCCACAGTCCCAGGCAGCCACTGGAAGGCAGTCAGGTAACACTCAGCTCCAGAGTCACACAGACCTACTGGGTCGGAAAGGTCCGTCTCCAGTCCTTACCAGCCGGGTAAGGGCAAAGGTGTTACTTAACCTCTCTCGGCACTACCCTAAAGCTGAGAAACGGAAGCCAAACGCCCCCTCGCAGAGTTCACCACTCCACGGGAACCAGACATCTGGGGAGCACGAAATCAACCCCTCATTCACCCCGATTCCAGCCTCGGCCAGATGTCTGATGAAAGAACAATCTGGTTCGAGTACGGCTAACATTTCCTCCTTTCCAGCAAACTTTGTAGAATCCAAAGAAGAAAAAGAAAGCTCCTCCTGCCCCACTGTCTCTCAACACTATGCCCCAGGCAAGCATTCAAACACCTCAGAGGCAGGGTCCTTGTCCACCACGTCTCCCGCCCATCGGGCCGAGCCAGCGGCGGCTCGTCTCCCGCAGCGGGGCCTCACCGAGGCAGGCGCCGCACAGAAGCCCGGCGGCCACGTTCCTGGCCACGTTCCACGTCCACCCGGGCGGCACTGTTCCTGCCGACTGCTCCCCGACTTCTGTTTACAGAGCGCTCAACGTACCACACTGAGAACAGCGAACAGTGTCACGTGCCACGATTACTCAACTGTCTGGTGGCACCGTCGGTAACCTACTGCCTCCCGCACTTTCTCCTGGAGGCCCTCCTGCCGCCCTGGATGGACACCAGGGGCGGCGGCAGAACCAGCGCCTCCCCGCCTCCGACGGCTGCGGACGCCCACCCTGGACCCCAACCCACAACGAGCCAGTCCCTGGCTGAGCGTTCCTGCCAGGCGATGAGGCCGCGTCTGACAACACCCACCAACCGGAGAGGAACGGCTCCCGGCCTCCCCGGGGGGCACTGACCTGGGCGCACCGGCTCTCCCTCCTAGGGCCCTCGCAAGGCCGGCCTGGGCCGAGCAGCGCCACAGCGCGCTCCCCCACACCCGGCGGAGGCAGAGGCCGGCGCGGCGGGCCGACGGCACGGGCTCGCGGCGACGCGGGAGGAGGACGCGCCGGCGACGCGGCCCCGGCAGCCGCGAGCAGTGCTCCGCCCCGCGCCCACCCCTGCCCGGCCCGAGGCCCCGCCCGCGTCCGCGCGAGCCTCAGCCGCCGCCCGCGCCCGCAGGGCCCGCCTCTCCGCCCGGGCCGGCCCCCAGCGGCCCCGCAGCCCAGGTCCCCGCCCGGGACCGCCGTCGGCCTCGCGCACCCACGGCGCGGCCTCCTCACGCGCCCGCCCGCTCGCCCGCCGGGACGCCCGCCTGCACCGCGAGCCCTGGCGCGGGCGCCCGCCGCACTCACCCGCGCCCGCCGCCGCGCCCTCGCCGGCCCGAGCGCGTGACCCGGCGGACCGTACCATCGCCGCCCCGCGGGGGCGCCCCGGCCGCGAGCGCGGCCACTCCCACGCCGCCCCTCGCCCGCGCCCCCACCGACAACTCCGGAATGGTTCCGACCGCCGCGGCGGGGGCCACTGGAGGAAACCATTTCAAGAGGGGGATGCTTAAGTTTAAAAAGCATTTTTAAAAGAGATTTGAGGGAAAATATAGCCTGCCAGGACTCCACGTCCACACCGAAGAGAAAAACAAAGAGGACATCTCCACGTTGTAAAGACGCTGTAATTTCGTTGTCTCCCGTGGGTTTTATAAACTGCCGACGCTCCCTTGCCCGGTGGGACGGCCCGCAGGAGGCGGGGGGCGGCCGTCGCGCGGCTGGGCGGCAGTGCGCATGTGCCTGAAGCGCCGCAGCTCCCGCCCCAGCCTGCGCGCTCGGGTGGCGCGTCCGAGGTTTTAGAAAATGTCAGTTGATGAGTAATAATATTTCTTAAACCTGAGCTCCTTTTGTTCAGTCTGTGTACTCAAAAGTTAAAGTCCCGAGTGCGTGATGTAACGTGGGTACTTAGAGGGAAGAGCTGGAGAGAGGACTCAGCCCGAGCCGGTGCAGAGGCCGCTGGCCCCGCCGCGGAGCCCGGCCCGGCGTCCCGCCTGGGGGCCGCGAAGCCAGGCGACACCCTCAGCCGTCCTCAAGGAGACGTGCGCGGTCTTGTTGTTTTAAGTCACCAGGTCACTTCGTTTGAATTTCCGTGTTGTGAAGAGAGGACACGAGGAAAGGGCGCATTGCACTTCGTTCCCTGCCTCCTTTCCCTGGTGTAAAGACTGAGGAGTGTGTGGGGTGGAGCTGTGAGGTCGGGCACCGCCTTTATGTGTTTAATTATTCTTACCGATCCAGTTCCTCTTGACATTGGACAGCACAGTCTGTTGGCCAGTAAGTCACAAGATAATTTCTGAAGCAAACAACAATAAAAAACCCACGAGTGTCTTGATTTGAAATTCTGTTTTTACTTTTGCCATCAACAGTTCAGACAGTTGAATTGGATTGAGGTTGCAGGATGCTTTGAAAGCCTTCATGGAAAGGTGCAAGAAATGTCTGCAGCCTCCTTGTGTGGCTGTGCCTCTCCAATTTCTAGAAGAAAACATCGTGTCCACGTTTCTCAAAGTGAACGGGATTCACCCTGAAAATGGCCACAGCGACGATTCTGAATACCAGTCTGCTTAACCGACTTCCCCACTAATAAGCAAAGAACTTACGAAACTTTCCAAAATTTTCAATTAGTTACCATAACTTTTAATTTAACAAGGAGATTAATATTTTTTTAATCCAATTGTATGTTGTATTGCTTCAATCAGGAAGACAGAAAGACTGTTTTTTTCTTTTCCTTTTTTTTTTTTTTGTAATCTTGTTTTTTTCCATTTTCTCCTAGTGGTAAGTGGTCTTGAAACTAACATTGACTAACATAGTCAGGTTTTAAGATAACAAAAAAATATCTGTTTCTCCATCTTGTAACTTTAATTCCAGGGTTAACTTCCTCAGTTTGTTGGTGGAGGATGCTGCCTTGCTCGGATTATCCTTATTTCCGTGATAATGGGCTAATAAAGGTCACAGTGGAGGCAGGTTTGTTCGAGGATTGCCATTTTCAGTACAGCTCCGTGTGCATTCAACTGCAGCTGACTCTGTTTACGTCACTGATATCTTTACCCGCACTGCTGGCTTCAGCCAACTACTTCTTTTGGAGGTACTTTCTCAAATAAACTTAGATGCCAATTCCTTGCCTCAGTGAATTGTACCAAGGGTTAATTAAACTGGGCCCTCTCAGAGTATAAACGTTCAAGGACATTCAACAAAAGTGAGAGACATCTTAGAAGTAAGAAAGTGTACCCCGCATTGTCAGTGAAAAAGCGAAGCTGGCAATAACACCTAACAATGCCCAACCAACTGAAATACCATGCTAAACGCAGAGCTTCTGTCCCATAATAGGAATCTTATGAAACGTTCCCAAAAACGGTGGACAACTACTGCCGCGTTTTTCCATCAATGAAATGGGATCAATCAGAATTAAAGATTTCTTGATGCTTGTCTGCCTTCCTACAACTAAACTGAGGCTTCATTGAATAGGTGTGGACAGCTGAGCATCCAGACTGACAGAGTGCTTCAGGGTTACCAGTTGCCAAGACCATGAAGCCACGTGAAGGACAGTCGAGTCTCACTGTGAAATTTCTTGCGGAGGTTTTTAGGTGTACCCCCACCAACATAGGCTGTCACCTCGCTGCTATACAGTACAGTTGGGCTTTATCTTTGAGTCAAACCACCGTGTCCCTGAATCAGTTTTCAGTTTCAGGAAGAAGAGGTATTTTTCATTTGTAAGCAATTGGATCTCATATTTTTAATCACATCTGATTGTTTCAAGGGTACTATGATAGATTCTCTGTTATAAAAAGAATTAATAATCTAAGCTTTCCTTTCTTCCAGCAGCCGAGACAGCAGTTCCTGTGTTTTCAGACGTGTTTAGCAGTTTGGGGATCTGCCCAGCTGCTGAAGGGCAGCAAATAATGGGCCATGTTTCAGAAGGTGGAACTCATGCACAACCTGCAAGTCAGTTTGAGGTTTTAGGTTATTCGACTGTCAACTCTGCAGATAAGCTGTGCAGCCAGTTGCAAGGCAAGAACTAGTAGTAGTCCTGATATTTTCTCTTAATAAAAAGAAAATCTCTATTGTTAATTTTTTACCATAGCACTTTCAGAAAGCTTTTAAAAATTAACCCTCTGAGCTAGCTCTGATGACGTGGTGGTTAAAGTTCAGCATGCTCCATTTTGGTGGCCCGGATTTGGTTCCCACTTGTGGAACCACACCACTCTTCTGTCAGTGGCCATGCTGTGGCAGCGGCTCACATAGAAGAACTAGAAGGACTTAGAACTAGAATATACAGCTACGTACCGGGGCTTTGGGGAGGGGGAAAAAAAAAGAGGAAGATTGGCTAGATTGGAAGAGGTTAGTTCAGGGCAGATCTTTCTCAGCAAAAGAAAAATGAACACCCTCCCCCAATGAGAATTCTCTTGATAAGCTTTCTGTGTTTTAATCTAATATAGCTGCTTGTTAAATACCAAGTGGTTTCCTGTTAGTCTCATAATAAACTTTAATGGTTTATTATGGACCCAGGCTTACTAAATGCATTTTGCAATTAAGGTTCTCTGGTCTCAACTTTTGATTTCAAGAAAGGAGGCAGATAGGATTTCATCTTTGTTCACCATCATTTAATCATTCAGCTGCCTAAAAAACATAGCCATCACATTTTCCTATTCATAAATATCTGATTGACACAGTTGTTTATTTTCTCTGGTTCCTTTGCAATTGTAATTGCTCAGACTTATGTCCAAACAATGTTTTCTTCTACAAATTGGCTACCATTTCAGGTTGCAACCCAGAAACTTAGAACTTAAACCCAAAACTGCATCTTTGAAACGCACTTAGCAAGAAAGAATTAGTGTACAACTTGACCGCTGGCATAGAAGGAGGAGGGAACTTGAACAACGTTGGTCTGCCAGTGAACACCAACAGTTCAGCCCACCTAAAAACCTAAGACTTGACTTTCCCCTCTGCCGAATTGTTTGCTGGAAAAGTAGAAGTATTTGTTCCTCATTGGGTTACATAGGCATCATTGTATTGCTAAGGCCAGTTGGCATCTTTCACAATAATGTTCTATTACCTAGTTTTCTTTGGGATTTCAACTTACTAAACAAAGTCAAGAAGGAACCATCCATACAGGCTTACAGCGCAGCAAAATCCCGCTGCTTTATTGCGCATTAGTACCATTCTTTGGCTCGGAAAACATCTACTGCCATTTCAAAAACATACAACCAGATGTTTCTTTAAAGAATAACTTTTACCAGTATATCCCAAACTGGAGATCTCAGACCAAGCATACATAGTTAAGAAAGTGTGTATTAAAAGTTAAACATGGTCCCTTTGGGCAGTTCACTTGTACGAATATGAATAAAAACACGTATGTGATTCGGTACTGAATTCTGAGGGCAATTATTCTCATTAATCCAGAGTATTTATTAATATTTGAGATTTCCTTGAAAAGTCCTCAGAGAACTGGTAGGTCCACCAGTGAACAACTCAAGCCTGCCTCCTTGGACCTCAGAAACTGCCCTAATTCCCTAGGTACAAACTCGCCATCTTTGGCACCATCAAAATGCTACAGGTATACATAAATGTTCACAAAATAATTTGCTGCCGGGAATTAACTCAAAGGAACAGCTAAGTCCGTGTTAACTGTTCAGCAGGTGGATTCTGGTGAGTCCTCAAGACGAGACACAGGCCGAGCCAGGCAACATATTGTCGGAAGCAGCATGTGCCAAGTCTCACACTCTTCTTAGTAACAAACCAGGCCACGCATCTCCTCCATCCCATAAGATGTTCAAATGTAACTCTTGTCAGGAGAGACAAACCGCTCACCAGGCTCTTTAACAAAGAATTTAATAGATCCATTAACCAGATATTGGAGAAGGGAAAAGTCTCAGCAAGGTAGTAACTGCAGGAAGCAGATAGCACCCTCAGGACTAGGGGAACAAAGGGAAGAGGCTGGGTCCCCAACCTGTGTGGGGAGTGGGAGAGGCTTGCCTTTCGGGGCCAGTGTCTCTGAGGGAGGGCGATGAGGCTGACTGGGAGCATGGGAAAGGCTCAACCTGGGGCTCAGGGCTGCTGCTGAACCCTCCTCGCCAGCATGAAGGGCTGTCGCTGGGGTCTCACTCTTCAACAGGACGCAGAGAGCAAGGAGTCTGTCCCTCTTCCCTCCCTTGCCTTATAGTCTGCCTCTTGCTGGCAAAAAAAAAAAAAAAAAAAAAAAAAACGGGCTGGCCTGGTGGCTTAGTGGTTGGGTTCATGCTTTTGGATCTCAGGCATGCACCTACACACCGCTCATCAACCCATTGTGTGGCGGCGTCCCACATACAAAATAGAGGGAAGACTGGCACAGATGTCAGCTCAGGGCCAAGTTTCCTCACCAAAAAAAAAAAAAAAAAAAGTGATTTGCAGACTTCTAGCCCCAGAATCAGAATGAATGCATAAACATGGGTGTAAAGCTGAGAGATAACAACAACAAGCACTCCTCTTCCAACACTGACATGAGGGACAAGGACACGTGGTTTGTAAATGTTAGGATGAGGCCCTAAGTACCATACCCCTTTTTGAGTTCAAAGTTTCAAAATAATGTGTTTTAGTGAATCCATTTTGGGAAAAAACTAAGTGTCCACTTGATTAGAAGCCCACAAGAGAGTTACTCTTGAAATAGCCGTGACCGGCAGCTACTAGGATTCTCACACTGAAGTGATTTTAATTCAGATCCAGGTAAATCAGAAGTTGTCCAATTTTTTTTTTTGAAAAGCGTAATTTGCTACACTGATAAAAGGAACATTTCCATTAAATATTATTTTTTTAAAGATTGGCACCTGAGCTAACAACTATTGCCAATCTTCTTTTATTTTCTTCTCCTCAAAGCCCCCCAGTACATAGTTGTATGCTCTAATTGTGAGTGCCTCTGGTTGTGGCATGTGGGACGCCACCTCAGCATGGCTTGATGAGCAGTGCCATGTCCGCACCCAGGATCCGAACCGGTGAAACCCTGGGCTACCAAAGCGGAGCGCGCAAACTCAACCACTCGGCCCCGGGGCTGCCCCCATCTTAAGTACAGGTATATGTAGGCATAAGTGAAAATGTGCAGCCCACAGCAGTACTAATGTGATCTGGAGAATCTGAGGGTTTAGATGAGGGGTCAAATCCCGCCCTCTGCCTATTTTTATATCAACTTTACTGGAAAACAGCCACAGCCACTCAGTGACATATCACATCGCCTGAGGCTGCTTTCCTACAGCAGAGCAGAGCAGTTGTCACAATAGACCACATGGCCCGCAAGGCCTCTCTATTAGGGGCAACTTTGTACTGTGACTCATGAAGTGTCAGAGTTTCCTTTTTGTAAATAATGAAAATGTGATCGACTACCCAAGTTGACACATTTTTAAAAAGTGAATGTTGCTGGTGAGAGAGAAACATTCTTTAAGGACCAAATTCTAGTTTAATCTGACCATTTTATAAAGGCTTCTTACCATTCTGGGGCTCAATCAGCAAACCCTAGTCAAATGCATTTCAGAGTTCCGTAGAGGAGGGACTCTGAACATAATTAAGATGCAGCTGTGCAGTTTAATTGAAAATGCTTCTAGAAGAAAAAGCAGCAAAGTTGGGCATTTGTCTTATAAAAAGCCATTCTCAGGGGGCCAGCCCCTTGGCCGAGTAGTTAAAGTTCCACGTGCTCCTCTTCTGGGTTTATACGTTTGGATCCTGGGCACAGACCTACACCACTCCTCAGCCATGCTGTGGAGGCGTCCCACATACAAAGTAGAGGAAGACTGGCACAGATGTTAGCTCTGGGCTAATCTTGCTCAAGCAAAAAAAAAAGAGGATTGGCAACAGATGTTAGCTCAGGGTGAATCTTCTTCACAACACAACAAAAGAAAACAAAGCATTCTCTTATGGCCAGCCCCGTGGCGTAGTGGCTAAGTTTGGTATGCTCCACTCTGGCAGCCTAGGTTCAGGGTTTTGGATCCCAGGAGCAGACCTACATCACTTGTCAGCCACGTTGTGGTGGTAACCCACATACAAAATAGAGGAAGACTGGCACAGATGTTAGGTCAGGGCTAGTCTTTGTCAGAAAAAAAAAAAGCCATTCTCAAGACTACAAAAGAGTGTAGCACACACCAAAGATTAGAAAGAGCACCTCTTTAATTCATAATTCGTGCTGTCACTAAAATTGCATGTTAATTCTAATTATAAAAAATTAGCTTCTGCCTTATGGACTCTCCCAGCTTTTTGTTTTTAAAGGCAACTGATACCAACTTTAGATTCAAGTTTTCCCCAAATTCCTAAAATCTAACTGTTTCTGTTCATAATGAATGTGTTCTTTAAAAACTTTTCTGAGGGAAAAAAAGTGATACAGAAGACACATCAATGTTCAAGTAATTTAAAACAAAAGGTAGATTTAATGAATAACAACATTAATCTGAGGATAAATAAATCCACAACAGACTTTAAAGTTTGAAATTTTTTTCCTTTCTTTGCAGACAGAATGATTTTCTGAAAGCACATAGGACTGAAGATGTCAAAATAAAAAGTAATTTCTAAACGTCCAGGTGAGACAGGCTTGGTCCTCCCTGCTGCCCTCCTGACACTTGCCACTGGCCAAGGTGACAGTTCCTTTCGTTTAATTCAGGATGGACGTTAGTTTCAAGAATAACTAGATGGTTTGTTTCCTGAATCATCTTCTTGTGAGCCCATGCTCTGTAAAGGAGACAGCAAGACAGTGTATTTATATTTGCCCTTGTCAAGGGTTTCCGACCAGCCCCAAACAAGCACACCCATCCCTCCCAGAGGGCAGACACCCTGTTGTACAACGGAGAGGAGGCAATTCCAGGAGCCACCTATGCACCCCCTAAGCACACTTCCTGGCTGTAGTTTGAAGAGGCTCTCAGTGAGTCTCTCTGTGAACTTAGTGATAAAGATTTTCAAAAACTTCTGGCAACTAAACATTTAACCTGAAAGCAAGTTCACATTCCTGATGTGGGAACACCCCTCCTCCTCCATCCAGCCCAAGTCTACTTAATGAACAGAACCCTAATCACCTTTTGCACAAACTGGGGGTTCACTGTGATCTCCTGGTCCATGGCCTTCAGCCGCTCATCCAACTCTATGCACTTCAGCATCTGTGTGATAGACATGTTTGAAGATGGTTAGTAAACAGGTTTGGGTCAATTACACCCTTTTTAACCTAAGCTATTAATATGGGCGCTACAGTTTCACAGTCTGTTGATCTGAAACCCCTGGGGATGGATAGGTTTTAGAATCAGAATTTTTTGAATTTAGAAAATTAATACAGTACAAGTACTGTATATTATCTAACATCCCAATAGGATCTAGGGTAGCAGCCCATAACCAAACATTAATATCTTTTGCAGTGAAACCTAAAAATATTCACACTAAGTGGGACAAATAAAGACTATACATTATTTCAGGTGATATTTGCCATCAAATGAGTTACCAAAAAAACTTCCAGTTTTCAGCGTTTTATTTTTGATTTTGAATTGCAAAAAAGGGACTGTGGAAGTATACTATGCTACTTTGCATTTCTTTT